CATAGACTAGGTTGAGCAAACAGAAGAAATGAAGAAAACTGAACAGACAATATCAACGGGCAACTTGAGCTAGAAAGCCAAAGGGAAGAAATGTTCAATTTCTCAAGCTGAAAGAATGGAAGAAAAAAAATCAAGCCTTGATTTGCCACAGTGAAGTGTTCTATAGTCAAAATGAAAGTATCAAAAGAAGATAGAAGGGATGTACAGGGTCATTGTACCGAAGTTAACTGATTGACATTCAAGTATTTCAAGAGGTAGCATATAATCAAGAATTGATAGTATTGAAGGAATTGATTGGTAAAAAGCAAGGCTCCAGGAATTAATGGAATATCAGTTGAGACACTTTAATAAATGAGTACAATGTTAGAAGCACTCAGCTGCCCATGCCAAAGTATTTGGAAGACAGCTCCTTAGTCAACTGAAAGTATAGAACAATAGAATTAACATCATATGCAAGTTAAATTTTGCTGAGGATAATTTAAAAAATGGTCAACAGAGAATTGCCAGCAAATCAAGTTGGATTCAGAAGAAGTCATGAAACAAGGGATATCCCTGCCCTCCTAGGCCCCCAAAGGGGACGAATAACAGAAATGTGGGTGAAGGGAGACAACAGACAGTGTAAGATATGAAATAATAATAATATATAATTGATCAAGGATTCACAAGGGTGGGAGGCCCGGGGAGGGAGGGGGTAAAAAGAGGAGCTTATACCAAGGGCTCCAGTAGAAAATGTTTTGGAAATGATGATGATGGCAACATATTTACAAATATACTTGATACAATCGACTCATGTTATACATGAATGTTATAAGAGCTGTAAGAGCCCTTAATAAAATGATTTTAAAAAAAAGAAACAAGGGATATCACTGTTGATGTCAAATGGATCTTTGTTGAAAGCAGAGGATACCAGAAAGACTTTTACCTGTGTTTTATTGACTGTAAGTACAATAACGAATTATGTATAACATTGAAAAGAATGGGAATTTCAGAACACGTAATTGTAATCCTGTAGAACACAGATCAAGAGGCAAACAATCTAAAAGAACAAAGGAATACTGTGTGACTTAAAATAGAAAAAATGTGGGTTAGGGATGTATCCTTTCAATTTGTATACTGTGCAAATAACCTGAAAAGCTGGACCACATGAAGAAGAACGTGATACCACAATTGGAGGAAGGCACATGAATAACTTGTGATGTGCAGATGACAAACCTTGCATGCTGAAAAGCGAAGAGGACTTGAAGCACTTACTGATGAAGATCAAAGACCCCAGCCCTCAGTATGGATCACACCACAACATAGAGAAAACAAACCCAAATTCAAAAAATCAAACTCACTGCATCGAGTCAATGTTGACTTATAGTGAACCCCTGTGGGTTTCTGACGTTGTATCTGTTCATAGGAGCAGAAAGTCCTGTCTTTCTCCTAGGGAGCTGCTGGTGGTGTCTAATTGCTGGCCATTCAGATGGAAGCCCAATGTGTAGCCACTACACTACCAGGGCTCCGACAGAGAAAACGAAAAAAAAACCCCTCACAAAGGGACCAAGAAGCAACATCATGATAAACTGACTGATATTGCCAAGGTGCTTCATTTCCATGGGTCCACATTCAATGTCTGTGGGAACAGCAGTCAAGAAATCAAATGGAATATTGCGTTGGGCAAATCTGCTGCAGATCTCGTTAAGCTGTTAAAAAACAAAGATGTCACTTAGAGGACTGAGGGGTACCTGACCCAAGATACGGTATTTGAATAATCTCATATGCATGAGAAAGGTGCACGAGGAAGAAGGAAGATCAAAGAACTGGCACATTTGAATTAGGGTGTTGGCCAAGAATATTGGATATACCATAGACAGCTGGAATAATTGATGACTATATCTTGAAAGAAGACAATCAGAATGCTCCTTAGAAGTGAGACTTCATTTCATGTGCTTTTGACATGAGACCAGGAGGGACCAGTTCTTAGGAGGTATCTGGAGAAGGGCATACTTAGTAGAGTGGCAGTGAAAAAGAGGAAGATCGTTAACAGGATGGATCGAGATGGTGGCTGCAGCAGTAAGCTCAAGCATGGGATGAGGGATTGTGCCAGGACGGGCAGCACTCCACTCTACTGTGCACAGGGCCACTATACATCACATCCTGACAGCTTCTAAGAACAAGAACGACAGCACAAAATCCTCTAGTTGATATCTTTGTGCAATTAAAAAAAATCCATCTTCATCAGTCGCTTGAAATACATTTAGCTATTTGACACAAATTGTGCTTTTCCCATTTAATAATGATTTTTATGATATTTCCATTATTGCTATCATATATATGCTTACAGTATTTTCTTGTGATATTACTTTTTCATTTACATTCTCTTGGTACAATTTTGTTTTCTATTTGTTTGTAGCAAAAACGTCATGCTGTCTTTATATTTCCCCTGAAGAATACTAGATATCAGATGATACACATAATAAATACAGATGAAGAATGATAGCACTCCAAAGTTTAAACCTAGGGAAGTTTTTGTTTATACGTAGAGTCAAAATAAAGAAAACCCCAGATGCAGGGTTTTGGAATATTTCATAATGTCCACATTTTAAAAAGTAGGCAAGTGCATAATCCAACAAAATAAAAGAGGAATGAAGAACTCAGGAATAACGATGGGTACCACTGAAATGATAGCTATTTAAAAGCAATTTTTTGGATTATTTTCTTCATTCTTGCATCCATTGTTACTAGCTTCCCCATTGCTCCCCAACTTCCCTGTCATAATCCTAAGGATAGCTTTTAATCTAGTTACTATTGCTGTAGATTTACCTGTCTTGGATTTCATACAAAAAACAAAACAAAGAGGGTGACCCTGAGAGCTTTCGAGTGCGCCGTGATGCTCACCAGGTTCCTGGGCCCGCGCTACTGGGAGCTGGAGAAGGATTGGCTGCCCACGGCGCCGTGAGTTCCGTGGGGCTGGTGTGGGCCACCGACTGGCGGCTGATCCTGGACTGGGTGCCCTACATTAATGGCAAATTTAAGAAGGACGACTGAGGAAGCCCTCCAAAGTTTTCTTCCGATTGTGTCTGGTGGTGCTGATTCTGACCGTCTCAGAACCTGCTACGTCTGGATCAGCCGACTACAGACACATGGAATGGCTGAACCTAGCTGAGGTTGGACATCAAGGAAACCCACAACACGACTGAAGACTTTATGTTCCTAAAAAGAACTCGGGTGTGTTCATGCCCTTAGCATTAAAGCACATGCTGAAGCTACAAAAAAACAAAAACAAAAAACAAAAACAAAACAAAAAACAAAGCCTCACCAGAAACAACAAAATAAAACACAGATAAACGTCAATCAATCTAAAAGAAAGTAGAAAGTAATGTACAGTGGAATAAGTTAAAAAGGGGTCAAGAGGGAAAATCAATGATAAGACATTAAATTTTAAGCTAACTTTATCTACAATAATTAATTTTCCATGCACTTTGAGGACTGAAGTATTCGCATATCTGGTCAATGGGCTGAGGGAAGTCAGTGAAGTCTGTCCCTGTGGGGACTCTGCAAATGGATTTTGGATTTCGCAGTCATCCATGGCCTTCTGCAAATTGTGTGCTATGAATATAAGCTCTAGTACAATTTCCTCCACTGGTCTTGGATTTTACTATTTACAATCCTTGGTTCACATGGGCTAGTGTGCTTCTTTTGTGTGGACTTAGCTGACATATATCACTTAGATGCTTGTTTCAAGACAAGCCTTAAAGACTCCAGATGCTATTCTTTCTGATAACCGGACACAAATGGTGGTTATTTGTGTTCAAAGCACATAGACATACTTTTATGTAATGCTTATAATAACCCAATTATGAAGATAGTATTATTATCTCAAGTATATATCTAGGAAATTGAGACACAGAAAAGTTAAGGAACTTAGCGGGATTATATGAAATCTACATGGTTAAAGCCAAGATTTGGACACAGGCAAACACCGGCTCTTGAGTCTATGCATGTAACCATTATACTTTACTGTGGAAAAGAGAGAAATGTGGTATGGAAGGGATGCCTCTCTCTTATTGCCGTTGAGTTGTTTTGAACCCAGCAACTCTATGGGACAGAGTAGAATTGATCCTTTGGGTTTCTAGGCTATAGGAGTTTATATGGGAATGCCTCATCTTTGTCCCACGAAAGAGATGCCAGTGAGAGCTGAATTACCGTAAACATAGAAGGAAGCCTAAATGTCATATAAGTCACGAGTAAATGCCAGAGTAAAGTGATTCTAAAGTCACGTGATATAAAGATAATAGTAATATCTGGGGACAAAAATCCTAGAAGCAGACACGAAGGTATTTTTGAAATGGTAGAGGGAAAAGAGAGATTGTCCAGGTCAAATAAACATCATTTTTATGGGAGATGTCAACACATATTCTTTTGTTTTTAATGTTGAAATGAATAAATATAGGTTTAAGACGAAATTACAAGGGTAGTAATCCATAGAAGAAATAAAAATAGCTGAAATAGTATCAGAGACATAGTCTACAGCAAACTGAACCCAATCTCCCTGCCATTGAGGCAATTCTGACTCATAGCTCCTCTGGAGGGGGCAGAACTATCCTCGTGGGATCCCGATGCTGGAACTATTTGTAGGAATAGAAAGGCTCACCCCCCCTCCCAAATCCACAACAAAGTAGGCCAATAACACAAAAATAAGAAGAGTGAAAGATACAGTGTATAAATGTTAAATTCAGGAGATCTAACATCTGAGTCCTAGCAAGAAAGTGGTTAAAAAAGAAAGAAAGAAAGAAAGTGGTGATGTGAGAGGGCAGAACAAAGAAAACAGAAACCAATGATCTATAGATATGAAGAAGACATTATTTCATGAATTTAATTTTCATTGTCAATATGGCCAAGGAAAAGTTGATACCGGGTCCCTTAAAGTTATAGTCCAGAATTCTACCTTCATTTTAAGCACTGACAACATCAATTCACTTTCTATTGTTCTGTGTATTTGTTCATTACCTGTATTATCACAGACCCTTCTCCAGCATCTTTTTCAAAGCTGCTTTCACATCCTTGTTCTTTAGGCTGTAGATGAGGGGATTCAGCATGGGAGTGACCACACTGTACTGCAGCGAAGCCAGCAAATCAAGGGAGGAGCCAGAGGTGGGCATGAGATAGCGAATCAAGCCTGAACCAAAGAACAAGATCACAGCAATTAGGTGGGAAGAGCAGGTGTTGAAGGCCTTGCTTCGGCCTGTGGTGGAGCTGATGCTCAGGATGGTAGAGATAATACGGACATAGGAGATGAAAATTGGGAAGAAGGTTCCAAGCCCATGCAGTAAAGTCGAACAGATTAGGATATCAATATGGATGGAGATGTCAGAGCAAGACAGAGGCAAGAGTGAGGGAAGCTCACAGGTGTAGTGGTGTATAGTTGGGACCTCACAGAAGTCTAGGTTAACAGCCAAAAGCACAATGACAACTGAATTGAGAGAGGCCAGGCCCCATGAGGTCAACACTAGCTTCACACAGAGTTGGTTGTTCATCACTTGACCATAGAGCAGTGGGTGGCAGATGGCGGCATAGCGATCATAAGCCATCATTGATAGCAGGAACGCTTCAGTCCCTGCTGTGATAAACACGAAGAAGACCTGTGTCAGGCAGCCCTCTACTGAGATGGTTTTCTTCTCCGACAGGAGGTCCTCCAGCAGCTTGGGCACCGTGACAGAAGAGAAACAGAGGTCTAGGAATGACAGATTGCTCAGGAAGAAGTACATGGGCGTGTGGAGACGGGAATCACTCTTGATCACTAGCAGCATCATGAGGTTCCCCATTATGGTCAGAATGTAAATCAGCAGGAAGAACACAAAGAGCAGAGCCTCAACGTGGGGGTCAGCAGACAGCCCAAGGAGAACAAACTCCGTGACGGCACTGTGGTTCCCCGGAGCCATGTGTAGAGCAGGTCCTTGGAGCAAAATGGGAAGAGGGGTGAATATCTCCACAGCTTGCTTGTTTTTCCTTCAGGGCATCCCCCAATTTTCTCATACACCCTTCCCTGCTCTACCTGAACTCTGCTGAAACATCTCAAGGCTGCCCACTGTAGTGGTATCTCAGGAAGAACTTTTACCCTGTTTTGTCTTTGAAAATCTTTGGCTATAATACTTACATAATTTTGGCAACACAATTCCTTTCCAAGAGACTTACTGGAAGAGTAAATATTTCTGGATCACTTATACATTTGTGGTATTTAATTTCTACTGAACTGTTTCTATAGTTCAGAGAGCCTTAAAAATTCTAGCATCTATCTTCAGGGGCTTTCTAAACCTTCTCTTGTCTCTTATTTTGCCATGTGGCTGTTTTTTCAAATTATCCAAGAGCTCCTGACCAGGGCTGCCTTATTCATTAAGCACAGGAGGCATGGTGTTTGGTGTTCACAAAATTTTTAGATTTCCCCCAAACTATATTCCTTTCTTTTAATATCAGAAGGAAAAAGAGTGCAATCCACCCTGGATTATATTTGTCTTTATATTAATGCAATCATAAGTATAAGTTTAATTTTTAATAGGTGAAAGGGTCATAATGTGGCCATGTTCCTTACTTCATAACTAATATATTTAATTTTAATAGGATTTTATCTCATACAAAGCACTTTCTCAATTAGTTCTTATGACAATTCGGTGAGCATGGCCAGGTAATTCTCATTCCTTGGACATGGACTCTTATCCCTATTTTTACTGATGAGAAATCTGATATTCTGGGAGATTTTTTAACATCATGTTCACAAACAGTAGCACAATAAAAAATCCTATCTCCTCCTAATTCTCAGGCAAGGGTTAGGTTTGATGCACAAGAATAAAGACCACATTTCCCATCTTGATAATTACAACTCTTCCTCATCTACCCTGAATTTACACGTTAGCCTTCTAGTTAATCCACTTCTGCTACTAGGCTGGTCTATTTGTTTCTGTGTTTTTTCTCTTGTTATTCCCCACCCCTAATGTTCTCCTACTTTGTTCTACTGATCCAAACTCTCATGGACTTCCCAGTCTTAGCTCAAATATTTAATGTGTCCTGATCGCTCCCTCCTCTGAACCCACAGTTCTCTGTTCTTGTCACCAGGCTCTGCTTTCAGCTGCCTTGTGTCATAGTCTGAATTCTTCTGAGAGTTAAAAATAATTTTCCATACATCTTAACCATAGATCTTATTACAGTTAAATGTTTATTGCAATCATTCCCTTCAAACTCTGAGCTCTTTGAGAAAATGGACCACATTTGATAGGATTCTAAATAAACGTAATAATCACACATCAGCATTCTCTGGCTTTGTTCCACTCATTATGTGTTACCATCCCATTCCTCAAATTACTCTCTTATTGTTTTGGAAGCCTTTTTGTGGTATCTCATGTTCCCTTCAGACAAGATTCTTGACTACTCCAAGCACAATTTCTTCCTTTTGCTTCAAGGCACCTCAGATTGCTCAATAGCAAGAATGTTGTACCCAATAATGGCCCCAGAAGCAGTGCTGATATTGCTGTTCAAGTTTGTCATACAGACCACTGATCATGGGAGGGGTAGAACCTAGGAGCAGGGGCTGCTGTTGAATTTCAAGGGGATGTTCTTATCTGCACAGATTATGTTATCTCAGGTTGATGCAAAACCTCTTATGTGCTATTATTTTTGTAGAAACCACATCACATCAAGAAACAGCTTGCATTTGTGTTGTGGATGCCTTATAATTTTCTGTCCCCAGATGACCAGAGTGAAAAAAAATTCATACTTAATTTTTGCTTTTTCTTACATTCTCTAGATCTAGGTAACAGGTGTAGTCTAAGAAGAGGAGGGTAGTGGGTAGTTTATATTAGTTAGGTGCTGCCAGGTCAATTTTGATTCATGACTTCATATGACAGTATCAAGCAGCCCCCATCACATTTAATAGGCCATAATCTTTGTGGGAGGAAGTTGCCAGGGCTTTCTCCCATGGAGACACAAGATGGTTCAAATCATCAACTTTACTGTTAGAAACTGAGCTATTGCCCCACAAGGGTTCTGGTGATGTCAGTACTGAATAAACAAATGAAGCCATCACGACCCATTAGATTCTAGCACATATCAAATCCTAGAGAGCAGCCTAAAGCTCCCTGCTGCATAGAGTCTTCACGACTGTAAATCTTTATGGAAGGCTACACCCTTCTCCTATGGAATGACTTGTGATATTAGTAGTGATACTATATTTAGAATAATATTGAATCCTAATATATGGGACTGTGTACTAAGTCCAACATCCAACTGTTGGTTGGTTGCACTGTAGTGACTTACATGTTGCTATGGTGCCGGAAGCTATGCTACCAGTGTTTTCAATACCAGCAGGATTGCCCATTATGGACAGGTTTCGGTGGAACTTTCAGGGTAAGATGGACAAGGGAGAAAGGCCTGACAATCTACTTTTGAAAACTAACAATGAAAAGCTATGGATCATAATGAATTATTGTCTGATACAGGTCTGGAACATGAGCTCCCTAGACTGGCAGGTGAACTGGAACACACCAACACTTGTGAAGAAACTGCAGGACCAAGCAATGTTTCTTTTATTCTACACACGACTCATAGCTGACTTGATAGCAACTAACAACAAACAACAACAGGTAGTAAGTTACTGTCCTACATGCCAATTCCTGATTGATTTGATGCTTTTACGTTAATTTACCAACATTCCACTTTTGTCTGCTGTCCCATGATGGCCAGAGTCTATCCTCTGATCCGTGGTAGTCTCCGGGACTCACAAAACTTTTTAATTCTACTGATTCAGAGACCTCTGTTTCTGGCCCCTCCACCCTTGCCGGCAATCTATGACCTCATGATAGTGCACCAAGAGACATTAAACAAATTTAGTTGCATTAACAAATTCAAAAACACAAGCTTAAGTCCATTTTAGACATAGTTGAAGTTACCTGTGAGACCAGGAAGCAGTGGTGTTCACCTTTATGTATCTGCAGAACTTTAACTTATATCCAATGATGGAAAAGTTCCTTTTGAGAATCCTGAATGGATACAATTGTAGATATCATTGAAAACAAACGTTGTATATGAAACTATACAAGTGGAGTAAAATGATAAACTGAAACAATTATTTCCAAAGGTCTGTATATTTCAAAGCATTTGTGGAGAGAGCTACCCTGAGAAATGCTTCCTTTCTTTGGCATTTACTTATAAAGGGGACATGACCAATGTGTGCAGGGTCTTCCATGTCTCGTTTGAAAACCACTGTAGCAATTGTGACGAGTCATGTTCCGTCCTGCCTTAACATTCTCATTTTGTGTGGAGGAAGGAAGCAGCTACATGGGACTTTGGAGGCTTCCCAAAGAAAGGAGAAAGCTCTATTCATCATTTCTAAACAGCACCTCAAACCCATGTCTGAAGTTTCTTTAATGACCACAGACAATTCTTTATTTAAATCCTAGATCAATTAAGTATTTAAAAAACAAAGGTGTGTGTGTATGTGTGTGTGTGTGTGTGTGTGTGTGTATTTCCAGCCACTCTTCAGGAAAAAGATATTGGTTTAATCTCATCTCATTGTATGAAAGCCTGATGCCAGATTTAGAACATGGGTATCAAGTTCATTTAATTAGCAGGTCAAGATGAAAGAAGAAAGAGGAGGCAAGCGGTAAAAGGAGAATTTCAGAAGTGTCTAAGATAAGCCTCTGTATTCCCATATTCCCAACACAGACACTTCATATTTCTGGCACAACTGATCATTTGATGAATTTCTCCTATGAAGGGATGAAGCAGGATATGGGGTATGTTCATGACAGTTCATTAAAACAAGACTCTTTCCCACTGAGCTGTTTTACAGTAAACCACAGATTCTGTTCACTAGTTAAGGAGCACTGTAAAGAAATAACTCAGATAATGTAGGGGTATGTTCGTGACAGTTCACTAAAACAAGACTCTTTCCCACTGAGCTCTTTGGCAGAAAACCACAGATTCTGTCCACTAGTTAAGAAGCAGTGTAAAGTTGAGAAGAAATAACTCAGATAACATAGTAATTATCCAATCTTGCTGAGGCAACTATTTGAAAGTAATTTGCATATAATGCAATTTTTTTTATGTGCTTGGAAAAATGCATCCCCTAAAATTGTTAATTAAAGATAATGTGGAATGAATCAAGGACAGAAGGGTGTGTGTGGAAGGTCAGCCTGGACAAGTTGGCTTAAGGGATCCTGGGGGCTGAAGGGCAACTTTCAGATCACAGTTACATGGGCGAGCAATCTGAGTGGGGAGTTGGGGTGGGGGGTGGGGAGGACATCAATCCTGCAAGCAGAAGGGGACTGAAGGTCAATTTTATTTACTTGAAATTATTTTCAGAGTTGTCTTCCTCTGCACTCTCTCTAGCTGTTTACACAGTCTCAGTTTTGACCAAATCTGAGGGTGGTTAATTAAGAGAAAACCTTCAGTGAGTGCCTTTAACTGTAGTTCTGAGAAAGGAGGAGGACAAATAGCTCCAACAGTCCAATAATTATTTCTGATCTTCTCATTTCATTTCATGTCTCAACTTTTTGAAAGCTTTTGGGATCAGGACTGTGAAAGGGTTTATGTCTACACTGTAAGATGTTCCTGTCCCCAGCCCTCTGCCAAGAGGAAAGACAGATCCTTCTGAGAAAGTGTTTAAGACAGCTCGGGGAAATCAGGACCTTATGCAGAGGAGGATATAATCTACCAAAGGTCAGCAAAAAAATTTTTTTCCATCTTCAACTTAAGAAAGAGGACCAAGTGGAGCAGGAGCCTCAGCTGCAGGATGAATTGAATGGAAGCTGCAGCGTTAGGCATTGTGGGTGGTGGAGAGAATGAACAGCAGGGAACTCTCCAAGAAGAAAAATAGGGAACACAAGAGAATTAGGGAAGACATTACCATAGTCTTGGCATTTTCTGGACATCCCTGTATGTTCCGACTTCC